GCATTATAAAAAAAAAATCCTTCACTTCCTAAAAGGCTTTATAATAGTTTCTAATTTTAAAAATATCCTAAATATGTATAATGAAAGTAAATACATAAAATGAGATACATCACTGTATATAAAGAGCTAAATACTGTAGGTGTATCACCTACACAATGATTAGTCTCTGCTTTAGTAAGGCATACAATTACAGCATTCTCTCATTTAATAAATTATAATACATACTGTACATGTATGTACAGTACTTGTCAATACTATTATACTATGCATACTTCACAGTATATCTTCTAAGCAATTCATTAATGCTACAGTAATTTTCTTAAGCCAGTCTGGAAATGCAGCATTCTTGCAAGTTCCTTTAGTAAGACAGGTTGCAGTACACATTTTTATTTGGACATTTCACTCTAAGGCTCCATATGCAGCAAAATGCTGCACCAATTATCTCTTTTCTGCAACTTTTCTCTTTTTTTTATACATTTATCAGCTCTGTCGTTGCATAGACTTCTTTAGAAGATTTCACCACAAACTTTAAGATTTAAGTAATTTTTTTAGGCCTTTATTATTTTGCATTACTTTTTCCCAGTGGTGTGTTTTCAGCAATATTCTTAAATTTAAATACAATGCATTTTTGTTTGTCTCGGGGAATATCGACAAAGTATAATAGGCATCCAGAATTTTTTTAGGGCAAAAGACAAGTATGCCCTGATCAAGGCATTTCACTCGGCTTATTTCTTTCAAATAAGCAGTGAAAAAATTTGTTTAAGCAATAAATCTGAAAATAACTCCAAACACTTAACAAGTGACTTCTTCAATCCTAATTTACTGTCATTACTGATGAAGTCACTTGTGGTAAAAATGTTTCCTTAAATGTCCTGATCAGTGCATGTCTCACCAACTAGTGAATATCACCATACCATTTCTACCAGATTTTTCAAATTTGCTAGGCAAGAGCTTTGCCATTAGAGAAATTGCACCTTTAATCTACAACCTTCAATTTACAGTAATCCCTACCACCCTTTCACTGGGTAAAATGATATGCCACTGCCAGACATAAGATGAAACTATTAATTTGAACTATTAACCAAATTTTAAAATCTACATAAATAGGATTCACATCGATTTAACATGCTGTGAAAAGCATCATGATGCTGGATGTTCCCTCAATAATAGTCATCGCTGAGTAAATTCCGTTTTCACAAATCTGAGAAGGGAAAGCAAGGATATCTCCCAGCTTTGCCTCCCTTGATACTATTCCTTACAGTTTACTGTGGGTAGGACCGCAGAAATATACAATGTATGATGCATAACCATGTAAATATCAGATTTAAGATTCTTAAAGCTTGTACATTCTCCAGTGGTATGTGGGTTTAGAAATGAATTTACAAAACTTATTTGTTTACTGTCACTGAAGTAAAACTAAGCAATTTCTATGATCTTTTGTCACTAAAATCAAGGTGTTTACAAATTAGAAAAATAGTTTAACAAATTTTGAGTTTTATAAAACAGACTTGGGAACTGCTTAGTGAATTAATCATAATGGTTACAGCAATGCCTGCATTTCCAGAGCTCAATCTCAGCTTTGGAACAAATTAAAACTGGCTACCAAAATTCTCAAGGCCAAGAAAGATTGCTCAATCTTCAGATTATCATCAAAAAGGCATGCTAAACCCACTCAATTTTCAGAGCAAGTCAGAATTTTACAGCAAAGTTACTGGTCATTTTTGCTGGATTTTTTTTTTTTTTTTTAATGTGCCAGCTGTCTCCCACCAAAGCAGGGTGATCCGAAAAAGACGAAATTCTTTCACTATCACAGTTTTGCCACGGGTGTGGCAATACTACAGTTCAGATATCCCTCCAAACAGCAATTACCTCCACCTCATCCCTTCAGAGTTCAGGCACTATTTCCCACCTCCAGGACTCTGGCTAACCACTTTCCCTGAATCCCTTCAAAAATGTTACCTTGCTCTCACTCCAACATCTCGGACATCCAAAAAACTATTTGCTTCGGCTCACTCTTATCAAACATGCTCACCTGCCTGCTGAATGTTCATGCCCCTTGTGCACAACCTCCCCCCCCCTTTTTTTTTTACCCCCTCCCTCCCTTTCCTAGGGCAACCCTTACCGTGCCTTCCCTCCACTACAGATTTATACGCCCTTCAAGTCATCCTCAGCCCTCTGGATAATACTTTTAGTAATATTAAAATGATGCACTGCTTGTGCTACTTTCCATTTTATAAAAATCAATAAAAACACTATTATTCATACTTCAACTTAATCAAATAAGCTCTACAGTGTCATTTGCTTACCCTAGCAATTTTTATATTATTATTATTATAATCAAAAAGAAGTGCTAAGCCACAAGGGCTATACAGCGCTGCAGGGTAGGGAAGGAAGCAAGGGTATTGGATGGCAGAAGGGAGGAGGGATGATCAGTAGGTTACAGAAAACAGTGGGGCAGGGGATAGTACGGGGGTAGAGGGTAGCAAGAGATTGAAGTAGAAAGGGCTGAAGATATCAGAATTTGTGAAATAAGTCAGTTGTTGTCAAAAAGTCAATGAGAGAGTCTAGATGAAAGGTGGGTCCATCAGCAAGAAGGGAAGGTAAAGAGAGAGCAGCAGAGCGAAGACGACGACGGAGGTAAATTCTGCGTGCTCGTTGATAAAGTGGGCAGTCCAACAGAATGTGGCTGACTGATAATGGAACTTGGCAATTCTCACAGAGAGGAGCAGGGCGCCTCTCCATGAGATATCCATGAGTAAGATGAGTATGGCCAATGCGAAGACGGGAGAGAGTAGTCTCCCAACCTCGACACTGGTGATAAGACGGCCAGTAACCTATACTCGGTTTAATAGATTGAAGTTTGTTGCCGAGCATAGTAGACCAACGGGTGTGAAGTTGGGAAGATATTGCAGCAAAATAGTCCGTAAATGGAATACCTCTACATGAAACTGGTAGGTCATGTACTGCTGACCGCGCAGCAGCGTCTGCCTGTTCATTGCCCTGTACGTCAACATGACCAGGGACCCAACAAAAAACAATATCTTTATGCTTGGTAAAGATGCGGCATAGCCAAAGTTGGATACGGAGGACTAAGGGGTGAGGTGTATCAAATTTCTGTATAGCCTGTAAAGCACTAAGGGAGTCTGAAACAACCACAAATGATGACACAGGCATAGATGCAATACGGATAAGTGCTGTAAGGATGGCATACAATTCAGCAGTAAAAATACTAGCCGAAGATAGTAAATGCCCTTGTACGACGCTGTCCAGAAACACTGCTGCGAATCCTATGCCGTCAGAAGACTTAGAGCCATCTGTGTACACAGCAATGGCATGAGAATGAGAGTGAAAGTGGTCAAGAAAAAGAGAGCGGGAAGCGACCGTAGACAGTTGGGCTTTCGAGCAAGGGAGAGAGAAAGAACAGACTCGAACAGCTGGAACTTCCCAGGGGGGTAGGGAAAAGTGAGATGCTACATGTACATAGAAAGGTGGTAATTGAAGAGAAGACAAGAGCGAATGAAGGGGAAGAGAGAAGGGACGGAGTAAACAGGGGCGGCGAACAAATAAAGAATGTCTACTAATATCAGTGACCATCCTATAAATGGAAGGATTGCGGAGATCATGAGAGCGTACATAGTAGCGAAGGCAATGGGCATCACGGCGATCGGATAAGGATAGAACGTTCGCTTCTGCATAGAGGCTCTCGACAGGGAAAGAGCGAAAAGCACCAAGGCATAAACGTAATCCTTGGTGATGAATGGGGTTAAGGCTAGAGAGAGTAGCAGGAGATGCTGCTGAATAGATCTGGTCACCATAATCAAGTTTCGATAAGATAAGGGTGGAATGTAGGCAAAGGAGGGTTCGACGATCAGCTCCCCATGAAAGATAAGCAAGGGTTTAGGCGTGGGACCAGAGTTGGTCCGACGTGGAACAGGCCGGCGATTCGAAAATTGCCGCACCGTAGAGGGAGAGGCCGGAAGCATAGTCAGAGGAGAGCGAAGGTCAGATAAATCAAAGGAGTCAGTCGAGGCCTCAGTACCTGAAGCGGGTGAGGAAACAGCACCGGCAAGAGGTACAGAGGCATGAGGAGTGTCCGAAGAGTGGTCCAAAGACGAGGCGGGGTCAGAACGGGGTGCGGTATCAAGAAGGGGCCCGGGGGTAGCAGGTTCATGGACTAGGGCTGCCATGGTTAGATTACTTCTTTCTTTTTAAGAAAAGAAAATAAAAATAAAAAAAGAATAAAAAAAAGGGGGGACCGGGGAGGGATAGTTCCTAGGAGGAATGAAAGGGCCAGAAATCTCCCTCCGCGCCCAAGAGGACCTCAGCACCGCAAGTATCGCAGATGCAGCATGGAACTCGTGCCATACCCTATCCATCATGCCAGTAAACCGGCAATCCGGGATAGCAACCTCACATCTGCCGAGCTACCTCGGTGGACAAAAGAGAGGGCGGCCGGAAATCCGCCACAAAGCATACCTCCTTCGGCCACCACCCCCGGAATCCGAAAGGTGGCTTCCAGAGATACACCCGTCGCCCGAGAGACACCCAAAGCCACCCTCCGGGATACCGGAGAGGGATCAGGACATCCCCAGGCAATCCAGATTCCACGGCAAACTACGCCACCACCAAGAACCTCAACGGAATGGGATGGACCCCGGTACCCTTCCCCCTACCTAGGAACTAGCGTGCCTGTGGGGAAAAAAAAAAAAAAAAAAAAAAAAAAAGGCCAAAAAGGAAGGGCAAAAGGGAGGGGTGGGGAGGAGGAGGAGGAAAGGAAAAAGGGGAGGATGGGACAGGGAACGGGGGATTGGGGGGTAATTAGGTTTGGTCTGAGGAAGTAGACTGACAGGTCTAATTCCTCAGACCAAGAGCCTCTTCACCATGCCAAGGAGCCCCCCTTGAAGAGGAGCAATTTTTATAATACATCACTGCTCTTGCCTATATTTTACACAATTTTTCTTCCATCTCCCCTTAGAAAAAAGTATTCTTTTCTATTTAAGGTATGCAAAAGGAAACTCGAGTAAGTTGTGACACGTGCTTCTACGGATATTGTTGGGTCTACTGCGACTATGGATGACAACAGTAGAAATGGTAAAATTATACATAACTTCATGTCGATAAAAAAAAAAACTGTACCTAAGAACAAGGAGGAACAGCAACAGGCCTACTAGCCCATACAAGGGAAGAATACACAGCACTGTTCATTTTCTCAAAAGTATATTTGGTAAAAATATGTGGTATATATATTTTGTCAGCACATTTAACTGATAATAAACTTTAATGAATATTATAGTTAAAATGACTAGCAACAAACACAATTATAAATCCTATATTACAAAAAAATTGGTATCTAAACTTACATCCAAGCACCAAAATACCAATAAAAAATTTAACCAGCCAGTTAGGCTACCTAACCCAACCATTATCACCAATGCTAATGTTAAAACCATGCATATATGGTAGCTATCATAAATCTGTGCTAACTAGTATTATTTTCAACAGAAAGTGGTATCCTGTGAATATGCTCCTGCAAGACGGAATTCATTCTGAAGAAGAACTGCAAACATGCGGTGAGGTACTGGCCGAGAATAAGCCATAGGGGCTGGTACCAGCGTTCGCAAAAGATATTCACGACCAGCAGGCCGTCCCAATTCACTTGCAGTTCCAGCATGGCCAGAATTCATGGATGCTCGACGATCATTGTGATTACTTGGGCTTTCTTGTGGAGAGTCGTCTACCATCATTGATGCCTTGAAGGGAAACATAAAAGCATGAGTGTCGCACACATAACTTTGTCGGACGAATTGAAAAAAAAAAAAAAAAAAACTCACTCTTCTAGCCTGCTGAAACAGCTTCCTGATGACAGCAGCAGCTGATCCTCGAGACCCACCATCTAAGATTACTTCAGGTGAATTTAAGAGCCTCAGCACAAGGTCTTCCAGAGGTTTCGATGTAGTATGGGACTCGCTGGAGTCTCCTAAAAGTTTGTGCCGTACACTCTGTGCTCTGGCTATACACGTTTCAACTTCTGCTATTTGCTCAACTACTTCCTGATACCTATGAAGAAAAAATATATTTCAGCTATGATAAACATCATCATGTATAGTCCCTTTATATAAAGGGAAAGGGGACAAAAGAGATTGTAAAAATTATAGAGGAATAAGTTTACTGAGTATACCAGGAAAAGTATACAGTAGAGTTATAATTGAAAGAATTAGAGGTAAGACAGAATGTAGAATTGCGGATGAGCAAGGAGGCTTCAGAGTGGGTAGGGGATGTGTAGATCAAGTGTTTACATTGAAGCATATATGTGAACAGTATTTAGATAAAGGTAGGGAAGTTTTTATTGCATTTATGGATTTAGAAAAGGCATATGATAGAGAGGAGCAATGTGGCAGATGTTGCAAGTATATGGAATAGGTGGTAAGTTACTAAATGCTGTAAAGAGCTTTTATGAGGATAGTGAGGCTCAGGTTAGGGTGTGTAGAAGAGAGGGAGAATACTTCCCAGTAAAAGTAGGTCTTAGACAGGGATGTGTAATGTCACCATGGTTGTTTAATATATTTATAGATGGGGTTGTAAAAGAAGTAAATGCTAGGGTGTTCGGGAGAGGGGTGGGATTAAATTATGGGGAATCAAATTCAAAATGGGAATTGACACAGTTACTTTTTGCTGATGATACTGTGCTTATGGGAGATTCTAAAGAAAAATTGCGAAGGTTAGTGGATGAGTTTGAGAATGTGTGTAAAGGTTGAAAGTGAACATAGAAAAGAGTAAGGTGATGAGGGTATCAAATGATTTAGATAAAGAAAAATTGGATATCAAATTGGGGAGGAGTATGGAAGAAGTGAATGTTTTCAGATACTTGGAAGTTGACGTGTCGGCGGATGGATTTATGAAGGATGAGGTTAATCATAGAATTGATGAGGGAAAAAAGGCGAGTGGTGCGTTGAGGTATATGTGGAGTCAAAAAACGTTATCTATGGAGGCAAAGAAGGGAATGTATGAAAGCATAGTAGTACCAACACTCTTATATGGATGTGAAGCTTGGGTGGTAAATGCAGCAGCGAGGAGACGGTTGGAGGCAGTGGAGATGTCCTGTCTAAGGGCAATGTGTGGTGTAAATATTATGCAGAAAATTCAGAGTGTGGAAATTAGGAGAAGGTGTGGAGTTAATAAAAGCATTAGTCAGAGGGCAGAAGAGGGGTGTTGAGGTGGTTTGGTCATTTAGAGAGAATGGATCAAAGTAGAATGACATGGAAAGCATATAAATCTATAGGGGAAGGAAAGAGGGGTAGGGGGTCGTCCTCGAAAGGGTTGGAAAGAGGGGGTAAAGGAGGTTTTGTGGGCGAGGGGCTTGGATTTCCAGCAAGCGTGCATGAGCATGTTAGATAGGAGTGAATGGAGACGAATGATACTTGGGACCTGACGATCTGTTGGAGTGTGAGCAGGGTAATATTTAGTGAAGGGATTCAGGGAAACCGGTTATTTTCATATAGTCGGAAATGGGAAGTACAATGCCTGCACTTTAAAGGAGGGGTTTGGGATATTGGCAGTTTGGAGGGATATGTTGTGTATCTTTATATGTATATGCTTCTAAACTGTTGTATTCTGAGCACCTCTGCAAAAGCAGTGATAATGTGTGAGTGTGGTGAAAGTGTTGAATGATGATGAAAGTATTTTCTTTTTGGGGATTTTCTTTCTTTTTTGGGTCACCCTGCCTCGGTGGGAGACGACCGACTTGTTGAGAGAGAGAGAGAGAGAGAGAGAGAGAGAGAGAGAGAGAGAGAGAAAAAAAAATCATCATCATCAATATACTGTAATATGTATTTTTTTTTTTTTTAACATGTTGCCCTTCTCTTGCCTAGGCAGGGTGACCCAAAAAAGAAAAACACTTTCACCATCACTCGCATATAATCACTGTCTTTGTAGAGATACTCAGATACGACAGTTCAGATGTCACTCCAAACAGCCAATATCCCAAACCTCTCCTTTAAAGTGCAGGCACTGTATTTCCCACCTCCAGGAGTCGAATCCGGCTAACCGGTTTCCCTGAATCCCTTCACAAAATATTACCCTGCTCACACTAACAGCTCATCAGGTCCCAAAAATCATTCATCTTCATTCACTCCTATCAAACACACTTGCACATGCCTGCTGCACGTCCAAGCTCCTTGCACACAAAACCACTTTTACCCCCTCCCTCTATCCTTTCCTAAGATGACCCCTCCACTACAGATTTAAACACCCTTCAAGTCACCCCATTATGCTCCATCCTCTCTAAACGACCAAACCACCTCAACAAGCCATCTTTGGCTCTCTGACTAATACTCAGTAACTCCACACCTCTTAATTTCCACACTCCGAATTCTCTGCATAATATTTACACCACACATTAATTACCCTTAGACACATCTCCACTGCCTCCAGCCGCCTCCTTGCTGCAGCATTTACAACCCATGCTTTACACCTATATAAGAGTGTTGGTACCGCTATACTCTCATACATTCCCTACTTTACTTCCATGGATATTTTTTTTTTTCCCAGATACCTAAATCCTAGGTAGTAGGTTGGTAGACAGCATCCTACACGATGGTAGGATTGCTGGTGTCTTTTTTTTTTTTTTTTTTTTTTTGTGTCTCATACACGTGCAAGATTTCAGGTACGTCTTGCTACTTCTACTTACACTTAGGTCACACTACACATACATGTACAAGCATATATATACACACTCCTTTGGGTTTTCTTCTATTTTCTTTCTAGTTCTTGTTTATTTCCTCTTACCTTCATGGGGAAGTGGAACAGAATTCTTCCTCCATAAGCCATGCGTGTTGTAAGAGGCGACTAAAATGCCGGGAGCAAGGGACCAGTAACCCCTTCTCCTGTATACACATATTACCAAATGTAAAAGGAGAAACTTTCGTTTTTCCTTTTGGGCCACGCCGCCTCGGTGGGATACGGCCGGTGCGTTGAAAAGATACCTAAATGCACCACTCGCCTTTTTTCCTTAGTCAATTCTATGGTTAACCTCCTCTTCAAGGGGGGCTCCTCGGCGTGGTGAAGAGGCTCTTGGTCTGAGGAATTAGACCTGTCGGTCTCCTTCCTCAGACCGAACCTAATTACCCCCCAATCCCCCGTTCCCTATCCCATCCTCCCCTTTTTCCTTTCCTCCTCCTCCTCCCCACCCCTCCCTTTTGCCCTTCCTTTTTGGCCTTTGGGTTTTTTTTTTTTCTCCTTTCTTTCCCACAGGCACGCTAGTTCCTAGGTAGGGGAAAGGGTACCGGGGTCCATCCCATTCCGTTGAGGTTCTTGGCGGTGGCATAGTTTGCCGTGGAATCTGGATTGCCTGGGGATGTCCTGATACCTCTCCGGTATCCCGGAGGGTGGCTTTGGGTGTGTCTCGGGCAACGGGTGTATCTCTGGAAGCCACCTTTCGGATTCCGGGGGTGGTGGCCGAAGGAGGTACGCTTTGTGGCGGATTTCCGGCCGCCCTCTCTTTTGTCCACCGAGGTAGCTCGGCAGATGTGAGGTTGCTATCCCGGATTGCCGGTTTACTGGCATGATGGGTAGGGTATGGCACGGGTTCCATGCTGCATCTACGCTACTTGCGGTGCTGACGTCCTCTTGGGCATGGAGGGAGATTTCTGGCCCTTTCATTTCCTCCTAGGAACTATCCCTCCCCGGTCCCCCCTTTTTTTTTATTCTTTTTTTTTATTTTTATTTTCTTTTCTTCTTTCTTTTTTTTTTTTGATGACTTCGCTATTGCCTGTGCAGGCGCTGACTGTCACCTCATTACAGTTTCTCTCCAGCATGCAGTCGACCGTGTTTCCAATTGGGCCACCACACATGGGTTTAAATTTTCCAGCACTAAAACCCACCAAATTACTTTCACTAGACGCTCTGTCGTCTCCGATCATCCTTTGTACCTCTATGGCTCCCGTATCCCTGAACGTGATACAGTCGTTTCTGGGCCTCCTCTTTGACTGTAGGTTATCCTGGAAACCTCACATTACCTCTCTGAAGGCAACTTGTCACAGCCGGCTGAACCTTCTTAAAACCCTTGCTCATCTTTCATGGGGAGCTGATCGTCGAACCCTCCTTCGCCTACATTCCACCCTCATTTTATCGAAACTTGATTATGGTGACCTGATCTATTCAGCGGCATCTCCTGCTACTCTCTAGCCTTAACCCCATTCATCACCAAGGATTACGTTTATGCCTTGGTGCTTTTCGCTCTTTCCCTGTCAAGAGCCTCTATGCAGAAGCGAACGTTCCATCCTTATCCAATCGCCGTGATGCCTATTGCCTTCGCTACTATGTACGCTCTCATGATCTCTGCAATCCTTCCATTTATAGAATGGTCACTGATATTAGTAGACATTCTTTATTTGTTCGCCGCCCCTGTTTACTCCGTCCCTTTTCTCTTCACCTTCATTCACTCTTGTCTTCTCTTCAATTACCACCTTTCTATGTACATGTAGCATCTCGCTTTTCCCTACCCCCTCTGGGAAGTTCCAGCTGTTCGAGTATGTTCTTTCTCTCTCCCTTGCTCGAAAGAGCAACTGTCTACGGTCGCTTCCCGCTCTCTTTTTCTTGACCACTTTCACTCTCATTCTTATGCCATTGCTGTGTACACAGATGGCTCTAAATCTTCTGACAGCATAGGATTTGCAGCAGTGTTTCCGGACAGCATCGTACAAGGGCATTTACTATCTTCAGCTAGTATTTTTACTGCTGAATTGTATGCCATCCTTACAGCACTTATCCGTATTGCATCTATGCCTGTGTCATCATTTGTGGTTGTCTCAGACTCCCTTAGTGCTTTACAGGCTATACAGAAATTTGATACACCTCACCCCTTAGTCCTCCGTATCCAACTTTGGCTACGCTGCATCTTTACCAAGCATAAAGATATTGTTTTTTGTTGGGTCCCTGGTCATGCTGACGTACAGGGCAATGAACAGGCAGACACTGCTGCGCGGTCAGCAGTACATGACCTACCAGTTTCATATAGAGGTATTCCATTTACGGACTATTTTGCTGCAATATCTTCCCACCTTCACACCCATTGGCAACAACGTTGGTCTACTATGCTCGGCAACAAACTTCAATCTATTAAACCGAGTATAGGTTACTGGCCATCTTCTTATCACCAGTGTAGAGGTTGGGAGACTACTCTCTCCCGTCTTCGCATTGGCCATACTCGTCTTACTCATGGATATCTCGTGGAGAGGCACCCTGCTCCTCTCTGTGAGAATTGCCAAGCTCCATTATCAGTCAGCCACATTCTGTTGGACTGCCCACTTTATCAACGAGCACGCAGAATTTACCTCCGTCGTCGTCTTCGCTCCGCTGCTCTCTCTTTACCTTCCCTTCTCGCTGATGGACCCACCTTTCATCCAGACTCTCTCATTGACTTTTTGACAACAACTTACTTAACAAATTCTGATACCTTCAGCCCTTTCTACTTCAATCTCTTGCTACCCTCTACCCCCGTACTATCCCCTGCCCCGCTGTTTTCTGTAACCTACTGATCATCCCTCCTCCCTTCTGCCATCCAATACCCTCGCTTCCTTCCCTACCCTGCAGCGCTGTATAGCCCTTGTGGCTTAGCGCTTCTTTTTGATTATAATAATAATATGGTTAACCTCGTCCTTCATAAACTCATCCGCTGAAAAGTCTACTCCCAAATCTCTGAACTCATTCGCTTTCATACTCCCTCCAATGTGATATCCAATTTTTCTTTACCCAACTCGTTTCATACACTCATCACCTTACTTTTATTTATGTTCACTTTAAACTTTCTTCCTTTACACACCTAATAGTATATTACTGCATTTTCTTCAAAACACAATGCTGTACTGATAATGGGAAACATCTTACTTGTTTGAATCGGGAGGCTGTCTAGAGAGTCTTACAACCCTTTGTGCTATCATCTCTAAGACTGTAGCAAGGGTATTACTGTGACAAGGTTGTGGGAGGCTGTTAGGAGCTGGAAGGGAGAACAGTGCTCTTTCCTCTGCCAGTCGGCACAGGGAAGCATGTAAAATAGTAGGTTGAAGGTGACCACACACACCACCAGGACCCATAGATGCTAGCCAGTGAAGAACTTGCTCAGCCTCCCGTGTGTCGTCAAACAAGCGCTTCTGACGCCTTGCTGGTACAGGTTTTGCACTATTCCATACCTGGTGAAAAAAAGTTATATGCAGCTTCTTTCAGAAATTTATTAGTGTAAAGCCACTCATAAATTAAGTGCAAAGGAAGTTAACAAACAAATATTAAGCTTCCATTAACCCTGTCACTCCCATACAGTTACGGCTTGCAAGCCAATGTCAGTCCCATAACGTTACACCAAAATTCTAGTGGCTTCAAATCTTGCGGGGGAAAGCTGGTAGGCTGACATACGAGACAATGGGTCTGAATGGTCAGTGTACGCAGTATAAAAAAAAAATCCTGCAGCGCACAGTACATAATGAGAAAAAAAAACTCCGACCGTGTTTTTTGGATCAAAACACCAACTTTGCGGTGGATTTTCGTATGGCATTTATGGTTGTATTATAGTTTTCTTGGTCTCATTTGATAGAATGGAAGATATATTACAGGAATACAGATGATTCTGAATGGTTTACAGATTAAAAGTACCTTGAAACTGAGTTCAAATTAGCAGAAATGTTCGATTTTTGCCAATGTTCAAGAGTAAACAAATCACGCCACACATCCAATACACATCAACTGGCGGGTCTACGATGCTTTCACAAATGCACTGATATTATTTATACCATTTTTACTTAACGCAGTAGTCTGCATAACAGTAAATCTTGTATTTTTTGTGAATAAAAATTCAAAATGGAAAGCAATCATAACATAAGAGGGGCCTAGAGATGTGATTAATGAACAGAGAAAAAGTTTTAGTACTAGGACCCCTCAAGGGAGGTTCCTTGATGCTGGTGAGGGGCTCTTAATCTAGGGAATTGGATCTATGCTCTGGTTTCCCGAATTGAGCCTGAATACCTTCCATCCTCCCCATGCGCTGTATAATCCTGTAGGTTTAGCGCTCCCCCACGATTATAAGTGCTAGGAATGTTTGTATTGTTAATTCTGGACCCAATTTTGAAATTGGCCTTACTCTGTGTATGAAATTGGCCAAATTACCAATTTCTGATCACTTTACTGGGTAGTTGAAATCAATAAACGGGCAGTTTCTTGTACTCGATAGAACAAGCGGAGTTCTAGCGAAATAGTCGAGTTTGGTCGACTGGAACAATGGAATTAATTGGCTGAAGATAGGGCTCAAGTTGGGTGAAATCACCGATGTGTAAACATCGCCTAGACTGCTAACTTTATGAGAGCATAATTCCGTAAGTTTTACATCAAATTTCATACTTTAGGTGTCATTACCATTGGGAAAAGATTATTATTTCGTAAGAAAAAATTTTTTTTTTTAAATTCTTCGTCACTGAAAGCAAGTTTGTAAGCAGGGGTCTCGACAGTGAAAGGGTTAAGAACTGTCACTATGGTACACAATTTAAACAGTAATTCTGCATTATTGTCAAAGCTCTAAACAAAATACTTGGGTGATGACAATAAAACAATTGTGTGTGATTAAAAAAAATTCACTAGAAATCCTTGGAGATGCCTTACTGCCAGAGCTCTTGATCCAAGGCATTGGAGCTACTCCCCTTCCTCTAACCTGCTTATCTCCCATTCCCCAGGCACTGAATGATCCTTACAGGTTTTGTAAATATAAAAATTCACTAAAAAGAAACTACAAAAATTATTAAGCAGTTTTACTTCTTGTACATAAGAAGCACTACATGTATGACCCTTGCGAGTTTAGCATTTAGTTATGACAATAAAAATTCTGCTGTATAGCCCTTGTGGCTTAGCGCTTCTTTTTGATTATAATAATAATAATAAAAATTCTAGTATATGAGACGATGCACAAATCTATTTTTCTTGCACATTTCTTCAATAAAACTATTTCCAATAGTGGGGTATTTTTTAAGGATACTGTTTCAATATACAGCTAGAAAGAGTATCAAACTATCACTTATCTTAAGCAGTCCATCAGTAGTCAAATAACAGTGCTTTCCTCCTGTATCACAATAGTTAAATCTTCAACCATTTCGTAATTCAACCCCAAAATATTCACAAATATAAATATTTTCATTATCTACACTACACTCATTTCAAGATATTTTTTAGAGGTAAACATTACTGAATGCTTATGTCGCCATCCTTTAGCATCTTAAATTATACCGTGTTCATTTTATGGATTAGTGTACAAAATTTATTTTGCCACTTTTATTTGCACACTCATTCATACACATTTGTCCATGTATTACATTTACAGGTAAGAGCAATACAGTACATTGCCTTTAAAAAAAAAAAATGAATAAAATAGTACCAAGGAAGATACTCCTAGAAAAGGCTGCTCAGCAAATTCACTCTAATCCTTCTTTACTACAGTAATTGGGTGGTAAGTTCCCAGACTCCCATCCTTAAACCAATGACGTATGCCAGTCGAAACACGGTTATTTTCATAGTATGACAAAAATAATATGGGTTTTTTCCCTATGTACTTGCTGTGGTTAATCTTACAACTGGAAACCACCTTTAAACATAGCATGCATTTTCTTGATAAAAGAACAATTAAGTGCTGATGAAAATAAAGAAAATCAAATTTTGTGACCAGGTGGCTCTCAGGTCGTAATATCTCCACCCTAATCGGCTGTCTCAGTGCATCTGCTTTTAAAGGCTCAAATAAGTGATTTCATAAATATCCTCCTGCCTTCCCTCATCATTTACAATTTAGTGGTTGGTTATGATTATAACATATCATTTACAATAGCAACCCCCTCAAGGAAGATTCCTTGGCACTGGTGAAGGGCTCTTGATCTAGGGAATTGGCTCTGTGCTCTGGTTCCCTGAATTGAGCCTGAATGCCTTCTATCCCCCCCCCCATGCTGTATAATCCTATGGGTTTAGTGCTCCCCATTATAATAATACAAGAGCAACCAAGAGGATTCCAAGTGAAATTGGATGATAAAGCTATGAAGTAAGGATGTGATGATGAAAGAACATTACTAGCAATATTCAACTTGAACTCTGGAGAATGAAGTGAACAAACAATCAAATTTGTAACAAAAGCTAATACAAATGTTTATATTTTTCATCCTTACTTCTTGGGCTCTCCTTCAAAAAATCCAGTACCCTCAACTTCAACATGCTGTAAAAACAGTTACGTGTATTTACCTCCTTCCACATATTTCCAGGGATTTGCATGCGTGCACTAAGGCTTCCTTGGGGTGGATGGCTGGGGTCATCAGATTCCTCCTCTATCCAATCACGAGGCGAGTACCAGCGAACAAAATCTTCAAGGACTGCTCCTGGATTTGCTGCCTGTTAATGACAGAAAATTAAAAAAAATTCTTTAAGAAATTTAGCAAAACTTAAATCTGAAAATAATAATAAAAAGAAAGGAGGGGGAGGTGGGGGGGGGGGAAGCATCTGCAAGCAAAATGAGAGTAAACAATTTCCAAATCTAATTTTGCATGCTCAAATATTCCTTCATGCCTTACCCTAAGGAACTTTATGAAGCTGACTACTTTTTAACACTTAAATTATCCAGTATTACACTTACATGTCAGCTAGCATTTTTACTGCTGAATTGTATGCCATTCTTTCAGCACTTATTCATATCGCATCTATGCCTGTGTCATCATTTGTGGTTGTCTCAGACTCCCTTAGTGCTCTACAGGCTATACGGAAATTTGATACACCTCACCCCCTAGTTCTCCGTATCCAACTTTGGCTACGCCGTATCTCTACCAAGCATAAAGATATTGTTTTTTGTTGGGTCCCTGGTCATGTTGACGTACAGGGCAATGAACAGGCAGACACTGCTGCGCGGTCAGCAGTACATGACCTACCAGTTTCATATAGAGGTGTTCCATTTACGGACTATTTTGCAGTAATAGCTACCCACCTTCACACCCGTTGGCAACAACGTTGGTCAACTCTATTCGGTAACAAACTTCATTCTATTAAACCGAGCATAGGTTACTGGCCGTCTTCTTGTCATCAGTGCCGAGGTTGGGAGACTACTCTCTCCTGCCTTCGCATTGACCACACTCGTCTTACTCATGGGTATCTCATGGAGAGGCACCCTGTTCCTCTCTGTGAGAAGTGTCAAGTTCCAGTATCGATTAGCCACATTCTGTTAGACTGCCCTCTCTATCAACAAGCACGCAGCATTTACCTCCAACATCGTCTCCGCTCTACTACTCTCTCTTTACCTTCCCTTCTTGCTGATGGACCCTCCTTTAATCCTGACTCTCTCATTGACTTCTTGACAACGACTGATTTACTCCACAAACTCTGATGATGATACCTTTTGCACTCTCCTCAACCCTTTCTACCTCATTCTCTTGCTGCCCTCTACCCTTTCACCATCCACTGCCCTGCTGTTCTCCATAACCTATTACTCATCCATCTCCCTTTTGCCACCTGATGCCCTCGCTTCCTTCCTGCCCTGCAGCGCTGTATAGCCCTTGTGGTTTAGCGCATCTTTTTTATTATAATAATAATGCACTTACATGTATCTGAAGGTTCACCTTCCTTCTTAGTTTTACAGTACAGGGAGGCTTTGTGCCTTGTTATCAAAACAGTAGTGCCACATTGTACTACTTGCATAGTATATAATATACAGAATTTCCACAACAGTATTTCATCAGAAAATATTATAATACACATATTTACCTTAAAAGACTCCATATCTGAAAGTAAAGAAGCAGACATCATCCGTGCACGAAGCTGTGATCCTACGGTGTCTGTCCCTAAACGTAGCAGCACATCAGCATGTTCCTCAAGCCGGTCCTCTGTCATTGGTGCTGGCTCTTGCGTGAATGGAACAAACAACTGCTCATTTGTTTTGATAAGTCGCAATTTTCCACAGCGTTTTAAGCGTCCTTCTGGCTTATCCCATGAAGAACGAGTGCCATTTGACTTCTCTTCTTCCTCCATTTCCTCTTCACATTCATAAAACTCATCTTCTTCATCCACTTCATCATTACCTGATAAGAAATGCCAGATTACTTCCAAGCTTTATTTTCTTGCGACCAAAGGAATAATTTTTTACCATTATCAATGCTTTCTGTTATATGTTTCTTCCATTATATCAAGTGCATAGTAACTATTACAAAGTATGAAGTCAAAGTACAATAGGTAGGAACCTGACAAAACAAACCACTTTTAGCACAAAAATTCCACTAGGAATTCTTTACTCAGTATCTGCCAATTTTCTTATTTCTCACTCTTGCTTTCATTTAGCCAGCACGCTATCTCTACTCAAAACTACATTAGTTTTTTTTTTTTAATTTATCCAAGAACTCCAGCACGATTTTTTTGTTTACATCAGGAATTTCATTCATTAATAGCTGTTTTGCCAGAAGTGTGAGGACATCTGAATTCAAAAGGCTCTTACATTATGTATGACAATTGTACTTACATGTACCTGTACCTAAATAAACTTACTCTGAACAAACATCCTGACCCCTCTTGAGTGCAGGAAGTATATTTTCTACCTCCAGGTGTATAATTATTTTCACAGGGTTAGAAATACGTACCAACAAAATTTCCTAGCCTTAATTTACTTGTTTTCATTGTTTATAAAACTAGATACATTTTTTTTAACATGTCGGCCGTTTCCCACCGAGGCAGGGTGACAAAAAAAAAAAAAAAAAAAAAAAAAAAAAAAAAAAAAAAAATCACCATCATTCCCACGTAATCACTGTCTTTGCAGAGGCATCCAGATACAACAGTTTAGATGTCACTCCAAAGAGCCAATATCCCAAACCTAACAAAAAATCATAGGCAATTGTATCCCAGTTTTCATTCCCAAGTACACTGCTAGAACACGTTACTCACATCCTAATATAGAATTTAATACTCTTAGTACCAACAGAAGAACCTGCTGTTCTATTGCTCTCTATTTTTAACTATCCCAATTCTGACCCCCTTCTAAAGCTTCCTAATTACAGCCTCTTCTCACTTAACAATGGAGTTCTGTTCCTAAGACCAAGTTATTAAACGAATTTGTTGATAAGTAAGGAGCATAATATAATGGTAGTGAATTTGTGTCAACCATCTTTGATTTTGTTTTAATGTCACCTTCACACCATTTATAACATTTCTGGTATATTTTTAAATGTTTATATAGTAGTGCACTGTATACTGAAATAAACAGAATAGAGGAAAGCAGCTCTAATATACATTATTTAGGTATGAATACTGGTCAGAGAGCCCGTCGTAAGTCCAAGGCGTTGGTAAACGAGTACGTCACTAAGTGAGGAGAGGCTGTATTAAAATATTTATAAATAAGTAGTGTCAAATCATGGCTGCTTTGTGAGCTCTCCACCAATGAGATGATGCACAAATGAGATCACCATGAGAGGGTGTTGTTGGACCTCACTACTCATGATGGTCAGGTAGAAATGCAATACCAATTTCCCTTATGTTGCCATGTATAAACCTGATTGATAATGATCCTGCCACTGCCAAACTCTGACTCATCCTCTACATGTATTTTTATATTATACACTGTTCATCATATTAACTTTTAACTAAACTCAGAAATCATACAGTCCCTGGGAAATGAGAGGTCTGCTTCAAGAAATGGGGAACCTGTTTTCACGTTCGTACTTTCATCCTTGAAGTACTGACACTGCTATTTGAATCCCACAGTAATTCATAATCATTATAGTGATGACAATAAGAATATTTTTTTATGGGGCAATTATGTATTACTAAATCATATCATTATTACCCAGATTCCTACTTTCATGGTGTAGATGGGCACTTGCTTGTAAAGGATAAAAAATAAAATGTTAAATACATTTGACATATTAAATGACCAATGGTGAAAAAGTATGTAGTTTTCTTGGCAAGATAGAGAAATTGTTAAATAAATAGAAGCAAAATGAGAGTAATCCTTTCTTGAATTACCAGTATTTCATTATCAATAACATCATGGTTAACTGCTACAAAACAAACACACACACACTCACACACACACACACACACACACACAGACACACACACACACTCACACACACACACACACACACACACACACACACACACACACACACACACTCACACTCACACACTCTCACACACACACACACACACACACACACACACACACACACACACACACACACACACACACACACACACTCTCACACACACACACTCTCACACACACACTCTCACACACACACACACACACACACACACTCACACACACACACTCACACACACACACTCACACACACACACACACACCACACACACACACACACACACACACACACACACACACACACACACACACACACACACACTCACTCACTCACTCACTCACTCACTTAAAATAGCCACAGCATTAGCCAAGTCAATTCATAAACTATACTGTGCTGTATAAAGTATTCAACATGAAATCACAAACAAAATATAAACTGTTCCCTCTGCTAACAAGCCCAATTTATTTACTTGCATTAATTTCAACTTTTGAGTGGTTAATACACATGCCATTTATTCTCACACATCACATCTACCCACCAATTTGACTTCTACCCCTACCTTCAATTTATTTTTATTATACTTTCTTCACCACTATCCCCATCTTTTTATTCAATAATGCCATACTACTACTGCACTTTATATATTTCTTATTTTATCCTCTTAACACCACAAACTCTTTAAATTCTCCATGTCTAAATCACTCACTTCTAGCCACACCAATAACTTCAAAGAATATTTTTTTTTTGACACAATGCTATTTCCCACCAAGGCAGAATGACTATCCTTCACTTCAAAGCAGTTTCCAGAAATACACAAACTTCACAATCAATGACCCATTGAACAGCAAACATTCCTCACTCCCTTTTCAAAGTGCAGGCAATATATTTTCTCCCCAAAATTAAAATCTGGCTAAACAGCTTCCCCGAATCTATTCAAAGAAATAATTACACCTATTTCAGCAACACATCAAATTTGAAGATTATTTTCCTATTCATTCTAATCTAAACACCAAGATTTCATTGCATTAACTCCCTTCCCTAGCTCATTTTGCTCTCAAATCTATTTGTAGTAATCCATCTCTTTCTTAATCATACATCTCTAGCATTTAACCTCAAGTAATTCCTATATTTACTGAACACTGCACAATTGTGCACTACAGATTTACTAAAGTAATACCTACAAGCTTAAAATACAGACCAATCCAGACATACCTTTATAGATATGATTATTTGAATACACAGTCCTATTCCTCAGGAAACTAGTATCACTTAATATATCAAGAGTGTTTACTGGTGAAATTTCATCTAGATTTTATTGTTTCTTCCTCAAAAACACCTCCAAGAAATTGAGATTTGTTACCTTGCTCTGTTGAATAATCTGGTAAACTCTTGCCACAACTATTTAGACAACTCTTAGGATTCCCATTCAGTGATACATTTATTTCTTCCAGAATGTGGTCTTCAGTGCCTTGGCATTTATTAATCTGAACATTAGCAATTCTTTCTTCACTAGTACCTACAGAGATCTCAGTATCATCACTGAAAGAGGTTATTACTTCTTCAACATACAGTTCATTACTTTCCCATTTTGAACTTGAATATTTCCCAATAATTTTAAAACATTTATTAAGAATGCCTATAATGAAGCTCTCAAATAATGTTCCTGCAGTAAAACGAAGATCTTTGCATCCTGAACTATGATGCAAGACAGCATCAAGGTCACTTGCATCAATACTACCTACAGTATTTGCAGTACTGCTGTTAGAACAAGTTTCAGATAGTTCATCATCTTTGGCATCTGAACTGTGATAGCCTAAAGCATCAGCAAAGCTCTCATTGCTACCTACAGATACTTCCTCACTGATGGGCAGAGACGTTCCTGTATCACAAGAATTCTTCCAATTTTCTTCCTCCTCTGAAGAATCACCATTGTGTAACTTACCTAAAAAGTAACTAAACATATTAAAAACTGCTTCTGTCCATAACATTCTTAAGTACATGAGCAATGTTTAAAACATTTAACTAATTCCTTCTGCACTATGTAACTACCTACAATACTTAAATGCAAAAAAACATTGCAAAGGTCAGTCACAACCATCACAAAACCTCACATATTTTATAGAATATTGTAAAAGCTTTGTAGAATTCTTCAGAACATGTCATGTACAATAAAATACACATTATTCACAACTATCCCATATTTTAAGAGGAAACTAGATGTTTACATTCATCAGGGACCATAATTAGGCTGAGACTTGATAATTATCTAGGACAGTCAAAAATGTGGTTTTGAAGGTTCCTTTCCAAAATTTGGGTTAGTCCTAAGCTGTTCTAGCCATGGCAATGTGACTATTCTGAACGAACCACATACTTTTTACAATAAATAAAAATAATACTAAAATAAATATATCTGCAGTTTTGAGGCGCATCTGATGAATTTCATAAAATAGAAGGGAAAAAAAGTAGGTGGTGTGTGGAAGCATGTGTAGAGCAAAATTTGTCTATGAAGGCAAAACAGGGAATGTACCAATTATAGCAGTACTAACACTTTAATATGAGTGTGAGGCATGGGTTTTGAATGCTGCAGCGAGGGAGGGAGGGCTAGAGGCAGTGGAGGTGCAATGTTTGAGAGCAATACGTGGTATGATTATTATACAGAGAATTCATAGGGTAGAAATTAAAAGGCAATGTAGGGTCACCAAGAATATAATTCAGAAATTAAGAAGGGGTTGTTGAGGTGGTTTGGGCATGGATAGAATGTAGATGGCATGAGGGGTAGGAGTCATTCCAGGAATGATTGGAGGGATCAGGTAAGAGGTTTGAGTTTTAGAAGCTTGAGCATCCAGCAGTTTTTTTTTTTTTAACACCTTGGCAGTGTTCTACCAAGGCAGAGTGACCCAAAAAAAAAAAAAAAAGAAAAACCCAAAAGGAAAGAAAAAACTTTCATCATTATTCAACACTTTCACCATCACTCATACATAATCACTGTCTTTGAAGGCTTTTTGAGTGTGTTCAATGGAAGTGAATAGGGAAAAGTGATTCAAAAAATAACTTCATTCATTTTAAGGGCAATGTAATGGAGGCAAATGAGCATACCATAAGGTTGCATTGCACTATGAGTATAGCCAAAGAGAAATTTTTTTTTTTTTGTAAACACACTGGCCATCTTCCGAGGCAGGGTGACCCGAAAAAGAAACACTTTCACCATCATTTACACTATCACTGTCTTGCCAGAGACATGCAGATACAACAGTTTAAATGTCCCTCTAAACAGCAAGTATCCCAAACCCCTCATTTAGAGTGCAGGCACTGTACTTCCCACCATTTCATTTGCTGTCGTGAACTGATATCCATGACAAAATATTTATAATAAACACTTCCCTTAAACTGTAGGCAAAACAAATAAAAAAAAAAAAAACCACTTACTAGATTTAGACAGTGATTGTTCCCTGGCCCTTCTTCGAATTATACAACAGTTTAGCATTTGAAGTTTTTGGTGAAGTAAAGTTGATGCAAGGTCAGGTGACCCACTACCAATACCTGGGACAAGAATGGCATTGTCCCACCGGAAGCGCAATTCTAAAACAACCTCGTGCCAGATGTGAGCAGCAGCTGGCAATCCACCAAGAGAGTGTATCACATGGCACAACACAATAGCCAAGCGCCATACCAACCCATCAACACCACTACTCTTCATATTGCTTAATAAAGCCTGAAACAAAGATGATTTATATACAAAAAAAAAAAAAAAACTACGAAATGACTAATCTCTTACTGTACATACATATTTTTTATAAGAAAAAACACAGTGCAAGATAACTTGACAAATGACCTGATATATTATTTGCCAACAATATCTTGACTTTTATATCATAAGATTAATCTGTGCATGTCATGGCAATGGTTGTTAAAGTACCTTATCTACAGTGTACAATTATCACAGCTTCATTTAAAATAATGTTTACTGATTTTATTTTGATTAAAAACTATTAATAACAACATTAATATTTTAATAATTATGCAAAACTTTCTTGGTTGATAACACTAAATTATAAGAGATTACTTTATTATACATCAGATTATAATATATACTGTGTGCAGACTCGGTTAAAAAAATTAATCAACAATGAATTACTGAATAGCTATGTCATCTTTCAACAAATGTCATTAACCTTGTTTTATCAACAAACAATAAATTGCATGTTTACTCATTGTACCAGATATTTATGGTTCACATTAATTCCATCCATGAAAAACATGTACATACAGGAAGGCACACATCCCACCTCTCATGTTTTTATCTTTATTTTTTCTAACACATCGGCTGTTTCCTTATTGAGATAGTGTGATAAAAAAATAAAACGTTCATCATCATTCATTCCCTAGATGTCTTTCCAAGCATGCACAAGCATCAATTCAATAAATCCTCCAAACTCTAAAAGAAAAAAAACGAGTTGATTATTAAATGCAATTTACTAAAAAACTAATTAGATACTTATTTTAAATGATAATTTTCACCAGCAATTAATTCTTACTAGCAGCCCTGATTCTTGTCAATAATTTTAATCACATCAGTCATTCTCACAAAAGCAGTGTCGCCCAATAATAAATTTTTTTTTTCCAACAAGCTGGCTGCCTCCCAGCAAGGCAGGGTGACCTGAAAAGAAACACTTTCACCACTATTTATTAAATATTTGTCTTGGCAGAAGTACACAGACATCACACTTTAAACAACCCCTAACATATATCCAAATAAAATTAATGGAGGTTGAATATCCCTTATCCAAAATACTTAAACATGGAAGAGTCTTAGATTTCCAATTTTTTCCGAATTTGGAATATAATGAGATTTTGGGTCCCATCCCCAAGCTAAGCATGAAATCCATTTGTATTTCATATACACCTTTTAAACACAGCCAGAAAGTAATTTTACACAATACTTTTAATAACAAAAATATCTTTAATAACAAAAGCTACACAGAAGCATCAGTAGAATACCTGCATCAGCTATTAAAAATCAATGCCAAACAATGGCAGACATTCACTCTCCACTTACAATGTCATGTTTTTATTAAAAGGCCACTGTACACTAATTCTTTTTATTACTGTTACCCATAGAGATATCTGCAGGCCTTTTTGACACAGTATTTTCACACCACAGAGCAGGGAATAAGCACAATACACATGGTAAGCACAGTAATGCACATAGGTCTGACAGTGACGACTGCTGATAAACTGGCACCAACAGAGCATCAGAGCCCCACCCAGAGTATGTGAGGTCACATGTTGCAGCAGTCTGGGTGCACAGACCTGCATGATGTCTTGCAACCTTCCCAGAGCCAACTAGAATTTTCCATTTGTGGTGTCATATCAGTACCCCAAAAAATTTTAAGATTTCAGAGCTTTTCTAATTTTGGATAAGGAATACTCAACCCATAACAATTCTTACCTTCAAAGGATGTTCTCCAGCAGGTGCATCTTCACCAGTCCACTCTGGTACTTGACTCAGTGTACTAGGAAAAGGTGCACTCTGTTCTTCCCCTTCAGCATCAGGGAACAAATAGTTGAGAATTGGAACAAGAATATCTACTGATATGGGACCCATTTCCCCAGGCTGAGAACTTGAGTGTTTCACATTTTTAGAGCCAGGTCTTACTCTGCCCACTATCTTAGACAAAGTTGGCACAGATGGTTCTGTCAAACGATCCAAAGCTGAAGAAAATTCCGCAGCATCTGAAAGCACGCAGAATTTTTACCAATAGATTTGTAAAGATAAAAATAACTTGCAACACCTAATGATCTGCCATGGCGATACAGGTCAACTTGCTTTATGCAGATTCGTTTTATGCAAATTCACTATCATGCAAGATCTTATTACTATCAGCAATTCTATACATGCAACATACATTCACCGTATGCTATCAGTATGATTCATAAAGTGTACTGAAGATTCTTATTATGCTGAATTAAGTGTTTATATCCTGAATGAGTTTGGCATAATTGCCATGAGCCTCGACTGCATTTACAGCATAAAATGAGGGGCCTTTGTACTGTCACCATAACTTCTTGATGTGACGTTCTTTTCCATATTTTCTTTGTACTGTATCTGAATCTGCATTAAAAACTAACTTTTCTTGAAGTTTCCCATATACAGTACTCGCAAAATCAATATCAGACATTCTCAATTAAGCTTGTTATGAGAAATAATTCATGCTCAACCTCATCAGATTTAAACTGTCAATTTGGTTGATGTCAGCTAGTGTCAGAAACTACATAAAAGATATAGGTTGTTTAAAAAAATTCACCTTGCCCTTCAATCAAAATAATCACAAAGCAGGATATCAAGTCCAATCACCACTGCTACTAAAGCTAACACCATCTTTGCTCATTATAGTTCCAGAAATTCATAGACTTTTCAGTAATTATAATTTTTCATGAATTACAGTACAGGAGTCCCCCCGTATCTACGGGTGATACATTTCAAGCCCTACCATGGATACCTGAAACCGTTGACAGTAGTGAGCCCTACAAACAATAAGTGGAGTATTAGCACTTTATCACTGATAGGAAGCACTTCATGACTTCTCTTAGGCTTTGAAGAACTGCCTTCATCATTACTTTTGTGCTTCATGGCCATTATTAAGCAAAATTGAGGCTTATTTATGGGCCACGGTAAATTGTGGATAACAAACTGTGGAAACTGAATTCGTGGACACGAGGATTTTTTTTTTTTTCAACAAGTCGGCCGTCTCCCACTGAGGCAGGGTGACCCAAAAAGAAAGAAAATCCCCAAAAAGAAAATACTTTCATCATTCAACACTTTCACCACTTTTTACCGTACATAATTACAGCACCTCTGCAAAAACAGTGATTATGTGTGAGTGAGGTGAAAGTGTTGAATGATGATGAAAGTATTTTCTTTTTGGGGATTTTCTTTTTTGGGTCACCCCGCCTCGGTGGGAGAGAGCAGACTTGTTTAAAAAAAAAAATTTACAGTACGTACTGCATAAATTTTCCAGTAATGCAATAATAAATTAAACAAATTTTATGAACTCCAAAAGAGATTGCTACCTACCCTCCACCTCTGGAGTAAAGTCTGGTCCCAAGATCTGAGTTACAGATTGATTATTTCGACAAACATGGAGAAACTCTGTCAGATACTCGGATAGAAGACACGGAGGAGATGCATTAGTTACCAGACGGGCTGTCCACAGAGGGGCTGAACCAGGGTCAAGATCACTGTATACATCACTATCCACCAATACATCTTCACTCACACACGGCCATGTAGCAGATAGGTGTAGCTCACTGCAAATACAAGAGTAGTTAGCCCACCTACTATTAAATTTTAGAGAATTTTCCACTTATATAGTTTGCACTCTGATTTTGTTAATTTCCAACTTGTTTGCAAAAGGATGATTCCAACACATATACGTGTAAGTCAAAATACAACGTACTAGCTTCGACAACAGAAATGGGGGTACAGCAGCTGGGAACCACATTAAGAGAAGGGAATATAAGGTTGGAGTGGTTGGTGTGTTTGTTTAACCTATGCATGAAAAAGAGGAAGATAATGAAGGATTGGAAGAGAGCATGCATAGTTCCCTTGTACACAAAGGAAAACAGGACAAAAGAAAATGTAAGAATTATACAGATACAAGACTGTTGTAGTGGGTTAAAAGAGATTTTGAGTGCTAGGGCCTCTGACTCTAAACAGACTTGTGTGAGCACGTTAGATAGGAGTGAGTGGAGGCAAGTGGTTTTTATGACTCAACATGCTGTTGGAGTGTGAGCAAGATAACACCTATGAAGAGATTCAAGGAAACCAGTTAGCCTAAATTTAGTCCTGGAGGTGGGAAGTACAGTGCCTGCACTCTTAAGGAGGGGTTGGGATGCTGCAATCAGAGGGTAATTTGAAGTGTAATGTCAGTTTGCTTCTACCAAGACAGTGACCGAATGAATGATGATAAATGCTTCCTTCCTTGGGTCACCTTCCCTTGGTAGAAGACAGCTGTTTAGGAAAAGATAAATAAATGAACAATATCCACATTTCCCTCCCATTTTAAGTAATGATACAGAGAATGTGAAAAACTATCAATTTCTGATGCAGAAAACACATGATCTAGTCATATCTGTGGAGGCCAGTGAGGCAATAAACAATATATTTATAAATGTTATCTGGCCATTGTACAAGGAAGCAATCATTAATTGTGGATGGGATGGTTTATAGCCTGGAATTCAATCTTTCAATGAACATGAGCCAGAAATTAAGAGGGGAAATGGTCCTTGGCTTTCTGGGTCATTATTCAAAATTTTATTACTTTATACATTATACTGTCATTAAGTCAGGCTCACTGTGTATGAAAGTGGATGGACTAATAAAAGAGGAAAAAATAAAAAATTCATATATAAAAAAGTCAAAATATCAACTAAGAAATAGTATGAACTCCATGGGGAAGTGGAACAGAATTCTTCCTCCGTAAGCCATGTGTGTTGTAAGAGGCGACTAAAATGCCGGGAGCAAGGGGCTGGTAACCCCTTCTCCTGTATAAATTACTAAATTTGAAAAGAGAAACTTTTGTTTTTCTTTTTGGGCCACCCTACCTCGGTGGGATATGGCCGGTTTGTTGAAAGAAGAAGAAGAAATAGTATGAATCTGTGAGTGACTAATAGTTAGAAACTAAATATATAACCAATACAATGGAAATACAATACAGGTGGGAATACAATGGTTCTAAAGACTTAATATTAATTAACAAATTAATAAATTAAGCAAAACCTGTAAAAAAATAGAACAGAGTATAGATACACTAGCTAAAGAAGCAGAGTGAACACGCATAAATAAACCAAATTTTACATTAACTTACCTAACTGGGTCACTTAGAGCTCCAAAAGGCAATTTTCCCAAATCAGAAAAACCAACGTCAGTTAGTGTGGCATCAAAGTCTGGTGGCTGCTGTGTCCAGAGTGTATGAGGCCATTCAGAAAGAATATACGTGAACCTCACAGATACCAAAACTGGAGGGGAAGTCTCATTGCACTTGAGTTTACTTCGAAATACATCCAAAAGCCCTAAAAACATAAAGGAGTTTAGCAAATACTATACAATAATGTACTCGTATACTATACTAGAATATAGATCTAGATTTTAAAAACAATGTTATTTAAATACAGGAGGTAGAATTATCCATGAATTATGTTGTGTGCCTACTTCACACAAAGATTCCTCAACCCCATTAGATGCTGGCTTTCAATATATTTAATTATAATCATAGCGTAATGAATACTTCACAGTTTTTCAAGGAAACCCACATAAAAACTAAAACACATCCACTTTTAAGGGTACATTTGTGTAAGCACTGATGGGTTTTAAAATGCTCTTAATGAGCCCCTGTTTCATCATACAATTAACATCTGTATCAGCTGATTTTTACAAACAAATTAACAACAGGTCTTTGGCAAAATGTACAAACAAGATATGAACCATATTATAAAAAGGACATCAAGTGAAAAAATAAGCATATGACGTTTGTGGAGAGGAGTACAATTTTTCATTTAACATCAAAGAAATTTCTTACAATTTTCCCTTACAATTCAATTTGATTAAAAAGTCTGATAAAACTTGTGCTTCTACAAAATATAACATCAATTCTATTTTTTAATATACACATCATTCCTAAAATTTCAAAACAATTCTTAAGAATTATTTCTTACCAGAGAGATGAGTACACTGGCGAGGAGGGTGCCTCATGTGAATCATGTCGTAATCGGTGCGAACTCCAGACCCCAGGCCCACTCCAAGGTACATTTTTTCACTTGGTGGAAGAACATAAACAAACATCGGAACCTGACTGAAATTACAACACAACAGTCATGTTTTCTTAAAAGCAGATGGTGATGAATAAATAATGCCTTACCTACATTTTATTTCATATTCAAATGTGTGATACTTAAGAGAAACACACATCTTACCAGTTGGTATTATTAGCAGCTATTGTAAGTGATGATAGCAGAAGCTTAGACTTTGATGGGCAGATAATTGGTTGATTAGCATTTGAAGGTGAAAGAGTGACAAACTCCCTCAAACCATACCAACGTACAAGGCAGTGGGCTCGGGCTGGAAAGTCATTCTCCCTATTCATGATATCATCCAGTGCCTGTGGCCACTTCTCTGTCTCCTCTTCAGTTTCATATTCTGGAAAAAATGTATTTAACTACCCATTCACTATCTTGTGTAAATACAATCCTACAAGGAATTTTTGCTATGTTATTCATTTAAAATTACTGTAATTCTTCACACACTTAAAAGTTACCTTATCACTGCACTTATTAATTTAATTATTTCAGATTTATAAAATCTGGAAAGCATATATAAATAATGCATTTAACGGCATATAGTGAACTACTTTTCATTTAAAAAACATACAAATATGCATTGATGTAACATACAATAATGCCTAAAAATACACGAGGAAAGTGTTTCTAGAGAATTCAGTGAACATAGACACTTAAAATTGCTACATGATGTGCAACACTGTGCCTAAAATGAACTTTCAATATACAGTATTGCATATGCAATATTTTTGCTGTAGGTGATGCAATGCAGATGTGGAGAGTGATGTGATGCAGATGTGAATGCAGATTTTATGCAGATATGAATGATACAGATGACATGATGCAATGTCTGTGATGCAGATGATTTTATGCAGAAGTAATGCAGATATGTAGATGTGACAGATGTGATGCAATGCAGAAGTGATATCCATATACATATGTGATGCAATGTAATATAGAACAGATGCAATGAACTGCAGATGTGATTTAATGCAAGTGATGTAATGTAAATATGATGTGATGCAAGTATGAAGTAGACAATTTGATACAGGTGTGATGTAGATGCAATGTAGATACGATGAAGAAAAAAAAAGCAAGAAATTGCTAACAATGCGTACACATCTGGGCATATTTCAGAAGCAATATATCTAAATTTTAAGTTTTTCACACATTTGAAATAAAGAGCCTGGTTCTTAATAATGCAGGAAAAACCAAACCACACATACACCAGCCAAAAACAAAGCACATGAATAAAAACCATTGAAACAAAAACAAAAAATACTATCACACTAAGTTAAAGTAATTCACATTTATTAACAATTCATTAAGTCATACATATCAAAAAACTTATAATAGAGGACTTTAACACTAGCATTTTTCAAGAGTACAAACCGAGTGATACCAAAGGGACTAGCAATACTTTAAACAATGAACCATTATTAATACACTACTACATATAAGAAATTAATGCATGAAGAAAAGAGAATCCACACCTGTGCTGGGTTCAGACTCGTCAGGTGGAGACTCAACGGTTTCACTTATGATGCAGTGGTGGGTCATCTTAAAGGGAAATTCTGAAAATATTGAAATAATATACATGTACTTCCCACCTTAACTATGCTGTTATTACCTGAAGGTCAAAAAGTGGTAAATAAATTATGAGCAATATTCATAGGAGGAAGAGGAAAAGAGGAGACATTATAACCACAGACAGTAGACCTCCCATATCCGCAGGGAATACATTCTAATACCTACCGTGGATACCGAAAACGAGGATCGTAGCGAACCCTACATACGCGTTTTTTCTTTCGTTTACATACATACCTATGATAAAGTTGAACCCTTTCAGGGTCCAGAGGCCAAATTTCAAAGTGCACACCAGTGTCCAAGAATTTTTAAAAATAATTTTGTTATTTTTTCTTATGAAATGGTAGAGAATCTTTTTCTGAAGGTAATAAAACAAAAAGTACGAAATTTGATGGAAAACTGACGAAATTATGCTCTCGCAAATTTTGATGTGTCAGTGATATTTACGCATCGGCAATTTTGCCGATTTTGACCCCCATTTTAGGCCAATTACTTTATTCCAGTCGACCAAACTTTTAGCTATTTCACTAGTATTACTTCTATTCTATCAATTGAGCACAAGAAATTGCCAACTCAACTGTTTCAGCTACAAAATAAAGTGATTGGAAATTGGTAATTTGGCCAATTTAGAGCAAAGTTCAAAATATTCCAGTTTCAAAATAGGGTCCAGAATAAACAATGCTGGCATTTCTGGCACTAAACTAACATTTCCTCTGTTCATTTGTTACGTTTTCAGGCTTTACAAATGAATTCCATTTTGATTTTTTATTCACATAATGAATTTTTATTTAAACCAAAAAATAGATTTACTGTAATGCAATATTGTAATAATTGAATAAATAATATCAGCACATTTGTGAACATATATTAGACCCACCAGCTGGCGTGTATTAGATGTGCGAGGTCATTTGTTTACTCTTGAACATCGGCAAAAATTTAACATTTCCGCTAATTTGAGCTCAGTTTCAAGCCATTTTCAGTACTAAAACCAATCAAAATCATCTCTATTTCTGTAATATATCTTCCATTCTATCAAATGAGACCAAGAAATCGCAAATACAACTATAAAAAACATATGAAAAAACACTGCAAAGTTACTGTTTTAATCGAAAATTACGGTCTCAGTTTTTTTTCTTTTTCTCTCATTATGCACTGTGTGCTACAGGATTTGTTTTATGTGGTGCACACATACCACATAGATGTATTCTCTCATATCTAGGCCCAAATTTACAGCTCACAGCGTATCAGAGTGAGCTGAGCTCATGGCGTAGATCTACAGTTTGGACCCTCAATGTAAAGCCATTGATCTACGGCACAGACCCTGAAAGGATTAATTTATAAATAGCAATAAGACAATGACAATGATGTGGCCATCCTCCTCCTCCCATCCTTTCCTTCTCCTCCATAAAAAAAAAAGAACTTTTGGTACCTTCAAAAGGAAGAACTAAGAGTCAAACTTGTAATCTAAGAAATTAATGATGAAGTGCAAATACTATCAAATATTATATATCTCACAAAAAATGAGAGAGATCTAGAACTGAGCCACAAGATGGTAAGGGGTGACAACCACTGGAAACTTAAGTGATACAAGAAATTAAACCCTTAAGCTGGGACACCATATTCATAGCTCTTCTTGTACAACTACATGGTATATACAGGTAATCACAAGGAGGTAATTATCACAGTACAAAAACTGCACACCTATTCACTTAAGAGACTTACCGGCAAACTTTACTTCTACTGTTCTCTCACTCCATTTTGCTGTGGCTAACTGTCCTTTACTAAGAGGAGACAACTGCCTCTCTCCTGATAACCTCCACTCGTGCACAGCTTCCACTACAGCAGCAATGAAGCATTCCCATTCTGATGCAGTTGTAAAGTCAACTATTTCAAATACTTCCTGGTCCTGAAATAATTTAATTCATTACTTAATTTGTGAAAGAGAAATGATCAATAGTAGAAAGGGAGGAAGGGGGGTGGGGGAGAAAGCTAAGAATGTTATCCCTCATCCCTTTAGGAAAAAAAATAAAAAAAGGAAAACAAGAAAAACACCACTAGATAACCATGGGAGCTTCTGAGCAATGCCATACAATAGTTTTCCCCTATGTACAGTATGTTTATAAAGTTTAAAGTAATTAATGGGAAAAAAACTATATGGGCTACTCACATTAGGGCAACCAAGGAAGATAGCCCCAGTTCTCTACTTCACTTAGTGCATGAGGAAAAAGGAAAGGTTTTGCAGTAAAAGTGAGCCTTGCACAAGCTTGCAAGTTGAAGCAGTGACTATCTACAATATTTTTTAAATTATCTTTAGTTAAATCATCACTATTTTGCCACCAATGCACATTATATCTATACAGTTTTGTTATACAATAAACTTGCGTAAGCTTCACTAAAGTACATACATATTTTATACGATAAACCTGTGTGACAATATAGCCACCTAAGACAATCACTCAGACATAATGATATTTATTTGTCAACTAGTATTTACTGAAGCAAGGAAGATCTTTAATTGCAGTGTCATGTACAAAGGCATTACAGCACATAGTAGGTTGTTAGACAGCAACCACCCAGGGAGGTACTACTGTCTGCCAAATGAGCGTAAAACGGAAGCCTGTAATTGTTTTACATGATGGTAGGATTACTGGTGTCTTTTTTCTGCCTCATAAACATGCAAGATTTCAGGTACGTCTTGCTACTTCTACTTCCACTTAGGTCACACTACACATGCATGTACAAGCCTGTATATACACACCCCTCTGGATTTTCTTCTATTTTCTTACTAGTTCTTGTTCTCATTTATTCCCTCTTATCTCCACGAGGAAGTGGAACAGAATTCTTCCTCCATAAGCCATGCGTGTCATAAGAGGTGATTAACATGTCAGGAGCAAGGAGCTAGTAACCCCTTCTCCTGTATACAATACCAAAGTTAAAAAGAGAAACTTTAGTTTTTCTTTTTGGGCCACTGTGCCTCGGCGGGATACGGCCAGTTTGTTGAAAGAACTTAAATCATCATCATAATTAAGAATTCCAGTTAATAGTGATATAAAAGTGACATGCTATGATGAGTTAACCTAGGATATCTCTAAAAGTCCTCAAAAAAAAAAAAAATAAATGCAACAAAATCTTGCAAAAATGAAATGTTTCAAAATATACCAATATTATAATAAATTCCCCAAAAATGTGTAGGAGGCCTGGTCACAGACCGGGCCGCGGGGGCGTTGACCCCCGAAACTCTCTCCAGGTAAAACTCCAGGTAAACAGTTATGTGCATACAGTACTAGCCTGGCACACTGATTTTTCAACAGTTAGAATTAGTACACTGGTTTTCAGCTGTTCACAAAGAATGACACTGAAAGAGTATTGCTCCTAGTGGAGTGTTCACCCTTCCAAAAGCTTAAGAAATGGCTGAATTTTTTCAACATTTTTAATGAATTTTAGGAATATCTTAGGTTATAATAAAGGTCACTTTACAAACAGTAATGATTACATTTAATACCAATTTTTTAAATTTTAAATTCAGTTTACTTAAATGCACTGTAATATCTCAATACACATCAACCTAAATATAGAATGGTGGATTTCAGCTATTAATTATAGAATGAACTGTACAATATTTTGTTTTACAGTAGAGATATTTTGTTGTACAAATAGTAAAATCATAACCTACGAACATACTAATCTAACAAAACGTGCCTAACCTAACCTATGATAACCTAACATAACTTAACCTGGCATCAGTACTAAGCATTGACTGGCTCAGATGCACTACCCAACCAAAATAAATGTACTATTTTTGCTAATAACACCCAAAATAAGCTACAAGAAATACTTTTTTCATCATGTACATGGGTGACATGCGATGTTAAATTTAAATTAATGCTACGTTCTGCCAAGCAATCACAAACTATGCCCTAAAGAACTAAATTATAGACCACAGGGAAAAATGCGACATTCACGAATTATTATTATTACTATCAAAATTAAACACTAAACCCACATGGGTCATACTGCGCTGCACAGAACATAAATAATGTGAAAAAAAATTCAGTATGTAAAACATTTATAATTTATTATGACTGGGAAATTACACTGCCACCTGCAGTACTTTCTCTGGATTTTAGAAAAAAAATAAAAATTGAAAACTACTGAAAGAAGAAGCCTTGAGCAAATTTTTACTAATATTACATTTTTTTTTTACAATGGTCGTGAAAGTACACAGGTAAGTGTATTAAGGTACAGTTAAGGACCCCAATAGAAATAAGTCACTTTGACTAATTTTGGGTTATCCTAGGTACTCTACATATGTGCTATGTATAATAATTTATGTAACAGTATTTATATGTCCCTGTACCTGAATAAACGTATTTACTTAGGTACACTAATTATCATACATAGTAAAATATGTGTAAATTACCTAGGATAACCCAAAAAAGTCAGTGACTTATTTCTATTGGGCGCACATACATATATAGTACATTGAGATATAAGCTAAGATAGCCCAGTAAATTATTATTATAATCAAAAAGAAAATATAACTCAGTAACACAAGAATATGACTGTATAACAAGTCCTTGAGAAAGACCTTAAATATCTTTAATATCTAAGAGATAACCTAGCAGTATATCTATATTATATATCACATCAACAGGTTTACAAATGCTATTTGGTTATGAAAATAAAGGTATAACGACACACAATATAGATAAGAGGCCACAAGTGCACATATATCATCACTACGTTTCGGTCTTGGGACCAGTCATTTGCAGTGACCAAAATCCCAGGACCCAAACGTGTCCATTAAACATGTCCCATGTGTCCTCTTCATCCATATGGTCATGTCAGGAGGACACACTTGATACATACGTCAGCATTTTGGGTGCCCATGGCCAAGAGATAGAATTTGTGGGACTGACCTCCCACACCAGCTGATACACACTCACCCACCACAACACTGACTGACTTCCTCTCCTCCTATCTCTCTCTCTCTCTTTATTTTTCTTAACTTTCCTACTGGGTATTTTTCTCGGAATGCTATGCATACTGTGGTTTTATTTTTCTGGATGATATTTGGGAACTAAACATTTTGAATTTGATTTTTTATTTTTTATTTGGGAGTGACCCCTTCAGGGTTAGCGCTCCAAGTGAAAATGATAATAATAATAATAATAATAATAATATTAATAATAATAATAATAATAATAATAATAATAATAATAATAATAATAATAATAATAATTTTTCTGGTTTACGAACAGAATTACTAATTTTCACAATGGTTTTATAAATTGTAAATTTATATTTACTCAGCATACATAATTTGCTATGGTTTTCTATAACAATTTATTTAGGATTTCACCAGAGATAACACAATAAATTATAAAAATGTTATTTTTTTTCCATTGGCTTGCTAGTGTTACGTAGTTAATCAGTTATATTTTTACGTAAACATAAATAGATGTCGTTTTATTCTTTACCTTTAATGACGAACCATAACTATGTAGTTTGAACATTTTCTATCTAGGTTCAGAGACCCAACACTTTAAAATGACTTTTCATACTGGCTTCATACAGAAGGGTTCATACAGCAGGACTCATACAGCAGGGTTCATACAACAGGACTCATACAACAGGACTCATACAACAGGGTTCATACAGCAGGACTCATACAGCAGAGTTCATACAAGAGGGCTCATACAGCAGGGTTCATACAACAGGGTTCATACAACAGGACTCATACAGCAGGGTTCATACATGAGGGCTCATACAACAGGGCTCATACAACAGGACTCATATAGCAGGGTTCATACAACAAGGTTCATACAACAGGACTCATACAGCAGGGTTCATACAACGGGACTAATACAACAGGGTTCATACAGCAGAACTCATACAGCAAGGTTTATACAACAGGACTTATACAACAGGGTTCATACAGCAGGACTCATACAGCAAGGTTCATACAACAAGGCTTATACAACAGGACTCATACAACAGGGTTCATACAGGACTCATACAGCAAGGTTCATACAACAAGGTTTATACAACAGGACTCATACAACAGGATTCATACAGCAGGACTCATACAGCAAGGTTCATACAACAAGGTTTATACAACAGGACTCATACAACAGGGTTCATACAGCAGGACTCACACAGAAAGGTTCATACAACAAGGTTTATACAACAGGACTCATACAACAGGGTTCATATATGGTTCATACAACAGGACTTATGCAGTAGGGATCATACAGCAGGATTCATACAACAAGGTTCATACAACAGGGATCATACAACAGGACTCATACAGCAGGGTTCATACAACAAGGTTCATACAACAAGGTTCATACAACAGGACTCATACAATAGGACTCATACAACAGGACTCATACAACAGGACTCATACAACAGGACTCATACAACAGGACTCATACAACAGGGTTCATACGGCTCCTGGAAGCCATGCAGCCCTAAGACCAACAATAACAACAACAAAGGCTGACTTGAGTTAGCTGGTTAAAAATTACTGTTTCTATTATTACACAAAGATAATGCTTAGACGTAACCCTACAAAGATTGAGTTAAAGCTAGACGACCTCCAAGAGCTAACTAATAAGCTTAAAGGTGACACTGAAGCTAAGAAAGGCAACGAGAAGCTAGATGGAACCTCCAACCTGGAATTGCAGAAAACAAGAAAGGAAATAATTGAAGAGAGAATTGGTTACAATCCCAGGCCACGTAGACCTAATTAAGTGTAAGCCATTTTTTTAAGTTCCTGGGAAACTCGAGCTGTACGACCCCGGTGGTTTAGTTATGATTATAATTTGTTTGCCCGAAATGTTCTGCATACAAAGGGGCTTTGGGCATGTACACCAACTATTATATTCTTTTGTACAACCATGTATCATGTCAAAATAAACTATTATTATTATTATTATTATTATGATTATAACGAACCCTAATACAAATAAGTCATTCTGCCACATGCTGCTATGTATGATAATCTGTGTAACTGTGTGTATACCTGAAGAAACTTGTTAATAATGTACGACCCTAGTGGGTTTAGTGCTTAGTTATAATTGTAATAATAATAACTAGACGATATCCTAGGTTAAGTTATCCATTTTTTTTTTTTCACAGTTGGGTTACTTAGCTGTTTTAATTTTTAAGGTTTAAATAATAAGATATTACAAGGATCCCAATGGAAATAAGTCACTGATTTTTTGGGGGGTTATCCTAGGTAATTTATGGTATGTATGATAATTGTACTTGTGTGTACCTGTACCTAAATAAGCTTACTTAATTAATAATCTTGGGAAATTCTCAAGCTGCACATCTTCCCTTCACGTTTTTCCTTAAGACTTACTGTAATTTACTGTTGCAGGCTTGCAACTTCTTTCTTGATCATTTTCGATCACTGATGCTTTTATTTTTTATTGCTCCAAGTCCTCTGCATGGGTCAGGTATGCTGTTGTCTTTCCTAATTATCAATACTTTGCAAATATAGTCATAATAAAACAGTATACTGTATAATAATTGTAAAATGAATCTAAGAGTTGAGATACTTTTTCATCATTCATTTAGGTTTACAATGCAGAAAAATTATTCAGTTACAATTGTTTAGGAAATTTACTATTTAGTTAAAATAATTTAAAAGTTCCTTTTCTAAAATATTTATTCTTTTTGCAGATTCTACACTAAAATGCTGCCGAGAGAAAGCCAGTCAAGTTTGCCATACCAAATACTGTTGTACCTTAATGGCTGGTATTTGGCAGTCTTCCTGGTTGTGGAGGTGCTAATATTTGCCTTCAAGACATTTGTGTTACCTTATCCTCCTGGGAACATTGTGGCAGAAGTGTTCCTTCTTATCTTCTTTGGTGCCACTGAATCAGTGAGAATATTCATGGGAAAGAAAGGAAATCTCACAGAAAGAATAATATCATTAGTAATGTCAATAATATTCACAGCCCCCTCAGTTCTTGCCATGTTGTATTTGCTACTTTGGCAAACTTATGTCCTTCGACTAGAAGTTGTATTGGTATCTGTTGCAATTGTATTTGAGGGAATTGAACTTTTATTTGCTTTGTTAGCTGTTGTTACTATAAGTAAATCAGGGTGATGAATATTGCTTATTCCTGCATCCACAGTCTATGTTATTCTGTATGTCATTGGGCAACACTGACCAATTTTGTAACTTGTTACTTTTACTCTAGACATGAAACTATATCCTCTCTTCATTGGTTAATTTGTCACAGATATTCCTAGTGGTTATGAATGACTTATAGGTTTTTGATTAAGCCTGTCAGAAAAGACAATTTAGTTGGAGACTAATTTTGGTAATTAAAGGACTGTGAGTAAAATGCTGTATTTATATATATTAATTTCAGATATTTAAATTTAACATAGCCTAATTGATAAAAGAAGTGTAGAATTTTGGAGCAAACATAACTAAGTAATTATAAACATATTTTTAAGAAACTAATTTTATTAGCTCTAGAGTTTGAGTGATATTTCATTGCCTGAGAAAGCTTGGTATAGTTCTGTATACCAGAATCTTTTAAGACAAAACTTTACATGTTCTTTTGGAAAATTCTTGTTCAGCCAGGTTGTGATGGCTATGTGAGCCCCACATAGCAATAACCCGGTTGATTCAGCTATCACCAGGGAAGCCTGGCCTGGGGGCCAGGCAGCAAGAACAGAAAAGCACCCAGAATTGGTCACAGGTATACCCTCTACCAAAATGTATCTCAGTAAAGTCAGTGAAGAGTGAAGTCTTGAATGTGAACCATTTTGTTTGGCTTTCTCCTTTATAATTTTTGTATTATTTTAAATGACATACATTACTTTGGGGTTTGAATCCTGTGTCTTGTAGTATTAGCAAAATTAGTTCAAACAATTGCTCATATGTGATATCTTTCCATTCCACGGCAGTCCACGGCAGTGACAAGTGCATTGTGTACTGAAATGGGCGATGTCACTTTTCAAAAACCATCAGGATATGAACGAATGATGGTGAATGTTGGCTTTTAGCACTTTCCCCGTGAATCGCTGCAGAGAAACAAATCTAGTGCTTACGAACCTGTGGCAGTCCAGTCCTAAAACTAGCTGCAAGTTATACTGTGGTTAAAGCACTGGCCTACTAGTTTCAATGACTATTATTATTATTACATTCGTGGTTTGGTGCTAAACCACCTGAAGGGATCGTACAGCACCTGGGAAAAAATGGAAGTATTCAGGTTCGATTTAAGGAAGGGAAGCACAGGCCCAGCCCTTTAGATCAAGAGTCCCTCTCCAGCATCATAACTTTGTAGGTTCTATCATATCTATTCTTAAAGTTATGTATAGATCTAAGTTTATGTGTGTGTGTGTGTGTGTGTGTATCGTGTATAAAGACTAAGACTAACTTGATACACATAGTTAGGTCACTGCACAATCCAAGAAAGCTATCCCCTGTATTGCATAACCTCAGTGCAGGCAACTGGATTATCACAGTGTGGCATAAGTTTGTAATGCAGCTAAATATTAGCAATAAGACTGAAGCAAATAAGAGGCATTCACAAATCATATGGAAATTTATATTACAATTCTTCAATAAAAATGGAAAATTTGGACATAACAGCCCAAATTTGATTTAAACTTTCCACTGAGAGACACCAGTTTTGAAGCTAAATTGAAGAGGCATTCTCTTGTTATCTCAGAGACTAACAGCCTGAAATTAGGAAAGTCTATCCTCCTTAAATTTTAAAATGCTTTAAAAATGCATTTTTTCATCTTTCTGTTCTCTCTTATATTTTATTTCAAATTCTCTACAATCTTTTAAGAAAAAAATATTTATAGTATTTTTTAAGAAAATGCATTTTGTTAAAATTGTTAAAAAAAAACTTGGAAGATGGCACCCCTTAAAGCCCAAAATCCATACAACATACTATACGTACTTATAATTATGATACATGAGCATTTATAGTTTGAAGCCGATTAGAAGAGGTATTTTCAAGTATATAAGTGAGCACAAATAAGAAGCGTGTTTGCTAGTGCTCATCAAACAGAGGATCAAGGCTCCACCATGTCTTGCACTGAATGACCCACAAGGGTTTAGTGTCTCAAAACTCCAGCCCGTCGGGTTTAGTGCTTAAAATTAATTAACTATTAATTAGCTATCTAGTTATTACATACAGGGAGGGTGTTTCAGGGGTCAACGCCCTCATGGCCCAGTCCATGATCAGGCTTCGTGGTGGATCAGGACTTGATCAGTCAGGCTGTTACTGGCTGCATGCTAACTGACATATGAACTACATTATTATTATTATTATAATCAAAAAGAAGTGCTAAACCACTAGGGCTATACAGCGCTGCAGGACAGGAAGGAAGCGGGGGTATAAGGTGGCAAAAGGGAGAGGAATAATTAGTAGGTTACGGAGAACAGAGGGGCAGTGGATAGTGCAGGGGTAGATGGTAGCAAGAGATTGAGGTAGAAAGGGCTGAGGGGAGTGCGAAAGGTATCATCATCAGAGTTTGTGGAGTAAGTCAGTTGTTGTCAAGAAGTCAGTGAGAGAGTCAGGATTAAAGGAGGGTCCATCAGCAAGAAGGGAAGGTAAAGAGAGAGTAGTGGAGCGGAGACGATGTTGGAGGTAAATTCTGCGTGCTCGTTGATAGGGCAGCCTAATAGAATGTGGCTAACCGACACTGGAACCTGATACGTCTCACAGAAAGGAACAGGGTGCCTCTCCATGAGATACCCATGAGTAAGACAAGTGTGGTCAATGCAAAGATGGGAGAAGTAGTCTCCCAACCTCGACATTGATGACAAGAAGACGGCCAGTAACCTATACTCAGTTTAATAGAATGAAGTTTGTTACCGAGTAGATTAGACCAACATTGTTGCCAACGGGTGTGAAGGTGGGTAGCTATTACAGCAAAATAGTCCGGAAATGGAACACCTCTATATGAAACTGGTAGGTCATGTACTGCTGACCGTGCAGCAGTGTCTGCCTGTTCATTGCCCTGTACGTCAACATAACCAGGGACCCAACAAAAAACAATATCTTTATGCTTGGTAGAGATACAGCATAGCCAAAGTTGGATATGGAGGACTAGGGGGTGAGGTGTATCAAATTTTCGTATAGCCTGTAGAGCACTAAGGAAGTCTGAGACAACCACAAATGATGACACAGGCATAGATGCAATACAGATAAGTGCTGCAAGAATGGCATACAATTCAGCTGTAAAAATGCTAGCCGAGGATAGTAAATGTCCTTGCACAACACTGTCCAGAAACACTGCTGCGAATCCAACACCATCAGAAGACTTAGAGCCATCTGTGTACACTGCGATGGCATGAGAATGAGAGCAGAAGTGATCAAGAAAAAGAGAGCGGGAAGCTACCATAGGTAGTTGGGCTTTCACGCAAGGGAGTGAGAAAGAACAGACTCGAACAGCTTGAACTTCCCAGAGGGGCAGGGAAAAGTGAGATGCTACATGAACATAGAAAGGTGGTAACTGAAGGGAAGACGAGCGAATGTAGGCGAAGAGAAAAGGGACGGGGCAAACAGGGGCGACGAACAAATAAAGAATATCTACTAACATCGGTGATTATTCTATATATGGAAGGAATGCAGAAATCATGAGTGAACATAGTAGCGAAGGCAATGAGCATCATGGCTATCGGACAAGAATGGGATATTCGCTTCTGCATAGAGGCTCTCAACAGGGGAAGAGCGAAAAGCACCAAGGCACAAACGTAATCCCTGATGATGGATGGGATTAAGGCTCGAGAGAGTAGTAGGAGAGGCCGCTGAATAGATCTGATCACCATAATCGAGTTTCGATAAAATGAGGGCTGAATGTAGATGAAGGAGAGTTCGACGATCAGCTCCCCATGAAAGATGAGCAAGGGTTTTAAGAAGGTTCAGCCGGCTGTGACAAGTTGCCTTCAGAGTGGTAATGTGAGGTTTCCGGGATAACCTACGGTCAAAGAGAAGGCCTAGAAACCTGACTGTATCACGTTCAGGGATACGTGAGTCATAGAGGTACAAAGGATGATCGGAGATGACAGAGCATCTAGTGAAAGTAATTGGGTGAGTTTTGGTACTGGAAAATTTAAACCCATGCGTGGTGGCCCAATTGGAAACACGGTCGACTGCATGCTGGAGAGAAACTGTAATGAGGTGACAGTCAGCGCCTGCACAAGCAATAGCAAAGTCATCAACATAGAGTGATGACCAAATATTGGATGGAAGACTAGAGGCCAAATCATTTATAGCAAGGAGAAAAAGTGTTGTGCTCAGAACACATCCCTGGGGGACACCCTCAGCTTGGACAAAGTCCGGGGAGAGCACATTATTAACCCGAACGCTGTATAGCCCTTGTGGCTTAGCGCTTCTTTTTGATTATAATAATAATTAACCCGAACACGGAAATGTCTGTCGGTTAAAAAGTTTTTAAGGAAGGATGGTAGATTGCCTCGGAGGTCTAAGGAGTGGGCTTGGGCCAAAATATTATACCTCCAAGTTGTGTCATATGCCTTCTCAAGGTCAAAAAATATGGCAATAACTGAGTGGTTATTCGCAAAGGCATTATGAACATACATATCCAAGCATAGTAAAGGGTCTATGGTAGAACGGCCCTTACGGAGAGACTGTTGTGTGTCTCTAAATACCACATTAAGCGTCGATTTACCATACGTTCCATCACTTTGCAAACTGCACTGGTAAGAGCAATGGGACGATAGCGGGAGGCATTATGTCCCGTAGTACCCGGTTTGCGGAAAGGGAGAACAATGGCAGATTTCCACAGCTGGGGAAGAACTCCTTGTGACTAAATAAGATTGAAGAGGTGTAAGAGGACCACAAGGGCTGATTGATGTAAATGTTGTAACATCTGAATATGAATGTTGTCAGGCCCAGCTGCCGATGATCAGCAAGCTGAGAGTGTCGCTTCCTGTTCCTGAAGTGTAAAAGGCACATTATACGGTTCTTCAATGAGAGAAGAAAAGTCCAAGGGTGGTAACTCTCTGGCAGACTTTGAGAAAAGAAATGAGGGGCATAGATGGAGCCCCTGAGAAATACAGACTAGATGATTGCCAATTTCAATGGCAACGTCAAGAGGGTTTGCTATATCAACACTGGCCACCTGCAGAACAGGAGCCGGGTCAGGAGAGTATTTACCACTCAGTTTCCGTACTGTTTTCCAGACTGCACTCACAGAGGTAACCGAGGTGATTGTGGAAACATAATCTCGCCAGCAAGTGCGTTTAGCATCACAGATGACATGGCGAGCAACTGCTCGCTTCTGCTTAAAATCAAGAAGTCTCTGTGGTTCTGTTGTACCGGTACCTGCCCCATGCAGCGTGTTTCAAATGTACTGCCCGAGCACAAGTAGGAGACCACCATGGCACACACTTATGAGAATGCCTGCTTGATGTTTGGGGGATAGAATGAGAAGCTGCGGTTAAAACTGATGTCGAGAAGAGGTGTAAAAGCTCATCAGTGGACGATGAAGAAGGAACCTCACTAAAAGCAGTTAGTTGCGAGTAAAGGTCCCAGTTTGCTCGATCAAATTGCCAGCGAGGGCTACGAAGAGGTGGTGAATATGAAGGAGAAGTAAGAATGATTGGAAAATGATTGCTGTTGTGTAAGTCCGGTAGAACAGACCAGGCAAAGTCTAGCACAGTGGAGGAAGAGCAGACCGAGAGATCGATGCAAGAAAGAGTATGAGTACGAGGATCAAAATGGGTGGGAGTACCCGTATTTAAAACATGGAGGGGGTGAGAAGCGAGAAAAGCCTCCA